TCTTCCCTTAAATATTAAAGTTCCCAGATCCCCCTTTAAAAAGACAACCACAGATGTGCCTCTGGTTTGTGTTTTTTCCCAGGCATGTCCTCAAAATTCATAAAACTCCATTGATCGAAAAAATATATATTGTCAAGGGGTATCCTGTGGGAAAGCTGGATGAGTTACCTTGGAAACCTACATAATCCTTCTATCGAATCAGAAAAACCCATCTTTAAAATAAAGCAATACATTTTTAAGGACTTTATTGTTTTCCTTCCTTTTTTCCTTCTCACAGAAGTAATATATGTCTCGTTAAAATTTTTCCAAACATCATGAAAATATGTAAAAACAAACATCACTTTGGTCAGCATTCTACTTATGAAAGCAGAAAGCAGAAGAAACGTATATAGAAAATTTGCCTTCCCCCTTCTCTCAAGGTAACCTCTGTGAGTCATTCAGTGGAAAGCCCAGCAGACCTTTTCCTCTACGCACACGCTTAAGTAGTGGATGATACAGTGATAATGATTTGGACCATATATGACACTTTTCAGATTTTAAAAATAATCTGGCCTCATGCTTTTAACATGAAGAAGTTGATGCTCCAAAGAAATGTTTATAAAATTAATGAGGCTCGACGCCTGTAGCTCAACCAGCTAAGGCGCCAGCCACATACACCTAAGGTGGCAGGTTTGAATCCAGCCCAGACCCGCCAAACAACAATGATGGCTGCAACCAAAAAATAGCCGGGCGTTGTGGCGGGCACCTGTGGTCCCAGCTACTTGGGAGGCGGAGGCAGGAGATTCGCTTGAACTCAGGAGATGGAAGTTGCTGTGAGCTGTAATGCCACGGCACTCTACCCAGAGGGACAGCTTGAGGCTCTGTCTCAAAAAAAAAAAAAAATTAAATTAAATTAAATTAAATTAAACTAATGAAAGAAAAAAATTAATGGGAGAAAGTGACTAAAGCTAAGGTTGCCCACATTCTGGGAACTGTAATGCTAATGGATTTCTAGCTGTCAAATTTTGTTAGACTCTACAGGAGTCAAAATGTTTCAAATAAGAAGGACTTTCAGCTGACTAAAACAAACACCAAAATAGCAACAGTGTCTGTCTCTGATAAACTTGCTTTCCCAGCAGTCTCCTTTGCTTCCAAGAGATTTCTATTACATTTTCCTAAAAGAGTATCACACTTCCATTGAAACAACAATCCTGCTGGGATTGTACGAAGCACTGGAGCTCTGCAATTTTCTAATTTCTGATTTCCATACTTGGAAATGCTCTGTCTTGCTGTTTGCAAAGAAACAATGCTCTGTATGTTTGCAGGTCACCTGTTGGGAGCTTGTATTATGCCTTCCCGCAGAAACAAGTCTATCTGGCCTAGGGCAGGCCAGTTAATCAGCTTGCACCCAAAGGATCTAACTGTGTGTACTGTAGAAATATGAGCCTTGCATAACATTGTCTTTAAAGACTTTTCTTTCAACATTCCCATTTGATTGGAATGTGGTCCTAATCTTAGGATTTCCCTCTCCTTGTGATTCACAGGCTTCCAAGGCTCTGGAAACAGCATCTCCAGACCTAGCACAGAGCAAGCCATAGGGACGATGTCTGGGGCTAGTTAAAAATGGGGTTGTAATACCCTCCACAAACATATGTTTTCCAAGGAGCTCTCAGTCCCTCATGTATACCAAAAGGATCTCAAAATGAAAATTGCTCAGCTAAGGCTAAAGAGTGTTGCTGTTAGGGTCTCACGGAAAAGCGATGTCACAGAGAATAAGTACTCTTATTGAAATTGTGTTTTAAACAAAGGTGACCATCTGCTCATTCAGGCAAAACGGCGAGCTTCTTTATTTGCAGTTGGTTTATACAGGGAATTTTGTACATGCACACAATACAGCAATGACCTCATTGATCCATTTAATAATATGTGACTACCTTGTGATTAGCTTCCAATACACCTTTTAACATAACCTTTTCAACATAACCCAATTTAACATAACTTAATGGAGAACATGTTGTTAGCCATTACTTCTTTGTTCTTATCTGATGATGCCTGAGGCTATGGAGGAACAAGGTAGATTGAATACCTGCCCTTGCTGGCCTTGCTGTTTGGATGCTGTTACTTCAGATCTTTACACAAGGCATAAAGAAACTTCTTGGGCATACAGGAATTTGTGTGCAAACCTCTGCTCCCATGTAGGCCTTAAGTCAAGGGATTTTTGCTGGAAACTTTTATAAGGAATTTTCAGGCTGGACTTCTCAAAAGCCTTTCATGAGCCCAAGTTTCATCTGTGCCATTAGATACCTGTATGCATTGGGTAAATTCCTCTTCTCTTGAGGTCCCGGAGCACATTTCCATTCCCAGACCCGTCAGCAAGCGACCTTCATTACTTACTACAGATCAGGTAAGGTTACTGATGGGTACCGGGCCAGTTTTCCAAAGGGCTTTTTATTGGCCTTATAAAGTCAACCTTGATTCCTTAATGCAGTAAATGCTATTCCAGCCAAAGCCTTGGTCATGTTAGGCTCACAGCCAACCTGGCCACATGGGATTCTGCCTCAGTTTCTTACAAGTATGCCTGCACAAAGTCTTTTCACTGCTCTCTCTCCAACAGCTTTTTTGGCCGGAGGCATATAGGTGTTTCACCTATAAAGAGTAACTATTCGTTTGCTTTAATTGTCTTTTCAGACCTATGTCTATGGGAGAAATGAGGTTTCAGGTAGAAAAAAAGGAAAACTGTCTTTTACTTTAGTGAATCAGAATGAAAGTAGAAGATTTGTAGGCTGTATCATCCAGAACTCAAACAGACAGGAGTCCCACATGGACTTACATGGAAGTTACATGGAAAATGAAGACAGGCTCTGGAGCACAAGACTCTGTAACTTCCTCAATTTAAAGATTTAATATCTCCCTTCTGCTCCTTACACTGAATAGTAACATAATCCTTAAAAAGTTTCTGTTCTTTTTAGGAGGGAGACATCAAAGGAGACAATGGAGGAGTCTGTACGTTTTGCCCCTTAGCAGTCTTGGGAAAACAGATTTCCAAGTGTTTGAGTAGATAGTGTGGATTTTAAGAGGTGTAATCTGTAAGAGAAGACTTTCTCAAAGTGGACCCAGTGACATCAGCATCACCTGGGAACATAGTTAGATAAACAAGTCCTTAGGTTCTACTGAATCAGACTCTGGAAATAGGGCTGAGCAATATGTATCCAGTGAGCCCTTCCAGGGGGTTCCAATTATCATGCTCACACTTAAGGACCATTTGCACAGAGTATCCCAAAGAATCTTGTTTAAAATCCTGGCTTTGTAACTTAACAGGTGTGACCTTGAACAAGTTAGTCTTTAAGTTTATGGAGATTAAATGAGAGAATGTATTTGGGGCACTTGGTGCAATGATAAACATATAGAAAGCACTCAATAAATGCCAGCAGCTATGGTCCCCATTATGTATGAGGGGAAGGAAAAAGGATGAGTCCTTAAAACCTTCAACAAGTTAGCACAGCACTTACCAGCTTAAAGGGTCCTTTAAGATACTGATATTGTGCTTTCAAGGAATCCAACAGTCCCGCACATTATGTGAGAGCTCATCTGCGCAGAAATTTGAACACAGCAGTTCTCAATCCTGGCTAGTCATAAGAATCCTGGTGGAGTTTTTAAACTTTGCCCTGGATGTCAAGACCCATAATCTCCAGTGGAAAACTCCGGGCATCTATAATTTCCAACATCTTCACAGGTAATGCTGCAAAACAGTTGTAGAAATCAAAAGTGATGTTATAATAATTAAAGCTTACATTTATCAAGCATTGATTTGTGCCAGGCACTATGCTAACTTTATATTCATTGCTTTATTTAATTCTCACAGCAATTCTTTGGGGTAGGTACTATCAGTTTATTTTACAGATGAGGATACTGAGGCATACAGGGGCTGAATAAGCCCCAAGTTCACACAGCAGAGAAATGGTTTAGGACCATTCCAAGGTTGAGCTACTAACTGCATTTAACTGATGCAAAACCTGATTCATGCGTTTACTCATTCATCCAACATGCATTTCTTCTGCATGTCCCAGGTGATACCTAAAAGCTGAGGAAAATAAAAAGGAATATAGATTCTCATCCTCATCATCAGCAAGCTCAAGGGATAGGCAAAGGGGAAAGGAGCTAGACTGCCTCATTTTAAAAGATTATGTCATGCATCTCTGTCTGAGAGGCTGAAAAGATGTTCTGTGGCCGCTAGCCTTCTCCTCTTAATGGCCATTTACAGAATCCATCACTGTAAGCTAAGCAGCCTCCCAAAGTGATGACCAAGCCTGCTTGCTAGCTGCCAACGTTCCCACAGCTCTGCAAGCTCTTAGAGCGGCCTCTGCGCGGCCTCTGCTCTCCTCGCTGGAGTTGTACCATTCATTCAGTTATCTTCTTAGTTGTCTACTCCCCGCCGTAGGACCAATGAAAATGGGGTAAGGAAGTCCATCACCTCAGAGCTGAGAGGCTGGGCCTCTTCCAAGGATAAAACCAGTCACTTACACTTAAAGGGACGACTGCTACAAAATTTCTCAGAAAAGTGCAGAGAAAACACTGAAGTCTCCTTTTGAAAACTCCAAGGTTAGCGCTGGACCAATCTTTGGACGCAGCATAAGGCTGACCTTGAAACTGAGCTCCAGGGTCTCGCACCAAGCTGGCAATGGGCTCCTGGAGCAATCTCAGACCCCTCTCTGCCTCCTAGAGTCAGGGCTAAGCTTTGTTTCAAATAGACAAAGTAATTATTGCAATTCGCCCTGATTGCCCTGGAGAAGACAAGTGATCCTCCCTGAAAGACCGGCTTGGAGAACACTGCCCCAGCACCGGGCTGGGGACACTCAGTACAACCACCTTATCTTCCCGACCCTACAGCAGCAGCCAGCCTGGAGACGGAAGCCATACTTCGGACACGTATCAGGTTGCACAGAGAGAAATGACCCCGGAACCTTACTTCTTCGCCTCGCTCTTGCTTCCACCCGGACCGAGTTGGCGCAGGACACAGGACTGCGGACTTAAAACATGGAGAAGGCGGGCTCTGGCGCTGTGCTGTCGTCTTCTCGGCTGGAGACTTCGGGATCTACAGAAGACCGGCTTTTTCTTGTCAAAGGTGCGATGTGGATCAGCGCGGTTGTCGGGCGAGCTCATCTGGGCCGTGGCCTGCGCCCCAGCGGGTATTCCCAAGCAACCCTCTCTGAGAGCCCTGAGCTTGGGCATGCCCCAGAGTTTAGCCGGTGGGTAAGTCACTTGCGGAGTCGAGTCTCCCCTTGGACGGAGGGCAGATCCCACGAGCTATTCTCCGGTGCGTGCCGTATTTTGCCTTTACCTCTGCAGGTTTTCTCGAGTCTTGCCTTTTTTAATTGCTCCTATCTCTCTTCCTGCCCGGGAAAAACTTCACGCCGCTGTCCCGCGGGAGAGGGGAAGTGCCCTCTCTCTGCACTTGGGCCTGGTATCTCAGAATGACTCCAGGAACCAGAGGTCGTGAGGTCACACAGAATTCACGGTCGCTATCATTTACAGTTGACAAAAGCTGCTTAGCCATGGTTTCTTCATTTTCAAAAGTGATTTTGACTTTAATTTAAATAGTGTCTGAAAAGTACCTGTGTATATATCATTTTAACTTTAGATTTTGTTTTTGTTTCTCTTTTAAATCCCTCTCCAACCTCTTGGCAGGTGGAATTTTCTTAGGTACTGTTGCTGCAGCGGGAATGCTGGCTGGATTTGTTACAACATTATCATTGGCTAAAAAGAAAAGCCCTGAATGGTTCAATAAGGTATGTGACACTGAACCCCATTCACTGGAGTTCATTGGAGTTCACTGAACTCCATAGCATTGTTATTGTTTACATACAATAAACAGCATTTTTTTCCATAGGAAAAATAAATGTTGATGGCCTTTCACATTACGAGGAAAATTTATATATACCTTATGATTGCAGGGTACAAATTAATTGGTAGTCTTTATTTTTATTTAAAAAGAAGTACTTAGGTATGTACTTCTTACATTTTAGCAGATTTTAAAAGCTTATCCAGTACATTTCCTATTCACAACACAACTTTAAATCTGAATCTGGGTAATTCACTATCAATTTTAAGAGGCCCCAATATTTTATGTATCATTTAGAAAGATTACTGGATTTTCATGCAACAAGTTACATAAAAGAAATTCACTGACATGACTTCAGATTCCATATCGCAACTAACCTGTAAGAAGTTGTGTGTCATGTTTTTGTGTAGCATCAAAGAAGGAAAGCTATTAAAATACTACTTTTTCCAAAGATATCTGAATGAGACCAGATTTTATCCATGAACTTTAACAAAAAAAATTTTGCAACAGACTGAATGCAGAAGCAGATATAACAATCCGTCTATCTTTTATTAAGTTAGACATTTAAAAGATTAACAAAATGTAAAACATTACATCTCATTGCACTAATTTTTTTGTTTTGAAAAATAATTTTTATAAAAATGGGTTTATATTACTCTATAAAGGATTACTATCTTAAAGTGTATAAATAAAATTTAAGGATTTCTTAATTTTAATTTCAAGTACATTAAATTTTTTTTTTTTTTTGAGACAGAGTCTCACTTTTTCATCATTGGTAGAGTACTATGGCATCACAGCTCACAGCAATCTTAAACTCCTCAGCTTAAGCGATCCTGTTGTCTCAGGATCCAAAGTAGCTGGGACTACAGGTGCTCCCCACAACACCCAGCTGTTTTTTTTTTTTTTTTTTTTTTTAGACAGAGCCTCAAGCTGTCCCCCTGGGTAGAGTGCCCTGGCATTACAGCTCACAGCAATCTCCAACTCCTGGGCTCAAGCGAGTCTCTTGCCTCCGCCTCCCAAGTAGCTGGGACCACAGGCGCCCGCCACAACGCCTGGCTATTTTTTGGTTGCAGCCATCATTGTTGTTTGGCGGGTCCGGGCTGGGGATTCGAACCCGCCACCTTAGGTGTACATGGCTGGCGCCTTAGCCGGTTGAGCTATAGGCGCCGAGCCCACCCAGCTGTTTTTTAGAGACAGGGTCTCACTCTTGCTCAGGCTGGTCTTGAACTTGTGAACTCAGGCAGTCCCCCACCTCGGCCTCTCAAGTGCTGGGATTATAGACGTGAGCCACTGTGCCAGGCCCACATTAAATGTTGATAAATGTAACCTACATAACTGAAAATCTTTGAGAGTCCAAGTATAAAGGACTGCTGAGACCAGAAAGTTTGAGAACCACTGTTTTGGATTGTTACATATGTTAAGGTTCTGCCCCCCACCCAACCCCACCCCCCCGCCGGGAAAAAGATTTGAATTAGAACATTACCACTTAACCGACTCTTTTTTTAGAGGTGAAATAGTTTGTAGAAGTACTCTGAGATTCCAGAGCACACAATTAGTAAGTTTCTACGACCAAGCACTACTCTAAGAATACCAGGGTGTGCATTTCAATGCACACCTGTAGGTCTTCTCTAACGTGACTAACAACGATCTGTAATACTTAATGTTCTAGCTGCTCTTTCTTTACTCATTTAAGCCCCATCATGGCTTATGAGGTAGTTAATAAATTTTTCCCAGTAAAGAGCAGGAAACTGAGGCACAGATGGATTAAACAATAAATGTCTGTTTTAAGAAAAATAGGTTAAGCAATTAAACAACTTGCCTAACATGGTAATCAATTCATCTTCCATTACTTCTGGAAAGTAAACGATACTATTTTTAGCAATGTTGTTACTCTGTCCACTATCTAATACAGATTCAAACAACCCAAAAGGACTTAAAATGATAAACCTTTCAGTTAGGGAAAATTAATCCTGAAAGAGAAAAAGATTCTAATAAACGGAAATGTATTTCCAGATAGAAGACAGAATGTTATAAATTTGCTATCTCTTACCAGATTAGCTAACTAGTTTAATGTCATTCTAATAAAAATGCCAATGAATTGGCGATAGAAAGAGCTTGAGAGAATACAGTTTCCCTGGAAGAATTAATAGGCATAGTGCTTTGCATACTCAAATGTTTGTCAGTCGGAGAAGGCACACAGTTAGTAAGTAGCAAAGCTGGTATTTGACCTTGGGTTGGTAGGGCTTCCCAATTTGTTGCTTACACAGAGAATAAATTTCAGGTACTACCAGAATACTTATTCTTTCTGAAGTGATTATTTTAACCCAAACCTTTCTGTCTTCATTTCAGGGAAGTATGGCCACAGCTGCCTTACCGGAGAGTGGGTCTTCCCTTGCCCTTCGAGCTCTGGGCTGGGGCTCACTTTATGCGTGGTGTGGGGTTGGTATGATCAGCTTCGCAGTCTGGAAAGCTTTAGGAGTTCACAGTGTAAGTAACAACAGTCCTGTAATTGCTCTCGGGATATTTATTCTCCTTTCCGTATTGCAGTCAAATTTGTATGTAGTATGGTCACTGCCTTAGGAAGTGTTGGCAGAGTATGTGACTAAATTCTTGCTAATACAGGCAACTCCTCCCTTCTAGTAAGTCACAAACAACAAATTTAAATGTTTGAAGGTGGTGAAATTTCAAATATAATTAAATGACTAATTCACAGCTAATGTTCATTCTGTATAAATTGACATTAGCTATTTGTTCAATAAAATTATTAATTTGCAGGCAGCACCTGTGGCTCAAAGGAGTAGGGCACCAGCCTCATATACCAGAGGTGGTGGGTTCAAACCCGGCCCCAGGCAAAAACTGCAAAAAAAAAATTATTAATTTGCAACGACTTTCTGTGCTGTTTGACATCTGTTATATGTGTACGTAAACATCCTTGTAAAATAGTTAAAGCATTTTAAAAATAATCATTTAAATTATTAATGTGCTATTTATACATTATTGGAAAAAAGCCTGCATGTGTGTATATCTCTGTGTGTATGTCTATATATAAGTATACAATTTATACCCCAAGCTAAAACGTAATACATTAAGAATAATTGTGTTACTGTTTTCAAACAACCGGTAGGAAGTTCTGTGGACCAGGTACAAGTTCAGTTGATGGTAGTTTAGAATAGGTGGCAGCAGTGGAGTTGATGAAAAGAGATTCTGGGTATTTTTCCAAGGTGGGGTCACCAAGGATTAGTTATAGATTAGATGTGGAGTGTGAGGAAAAGTGAAGTCAGGGATGTCGCCAAGACTCTTGACATGAATAGCTGTAGAATGGATGGGGCTAGTGTGAGAGGAGCAGGCACTGGGGATAATGTCAGGAGCTCAGTCTGGGACTTGTGATTCTGAGACATCTATTAGCCAGGTGGAGAGTCAAATAAGCATTACGTACAGAAGTTCAGAGTTCTGGGGAGAGGTACACGGTGAAGACACACTTGAAACTCCTCAGTGTATGGGTAGTAAAGCTGTGAGACCAAATGAGCTCACCAAGGCAATGAGGGCAAAAGGAAAAGAGAAGAGGTCTGAGGAAGGAGTGCTTGGCCACCCCTAATGTTTAGAGTTCAGGGAATGAGGAGGAGGCAAAGATTATTCTGCTAAAGAGATAGGGAAGACCAGAATGGGGACTTGCACGCCGGGTGAAGAAAACATTCCAAGGAGCAGTGATTAACTGTGTTGAGTGCTGGTGGAAGATGACTGATAATTCACTGAATTCAGCAGTGTGGTGGAATTTGGTGAAATGGGGGAAAAGCCTGAGCAGACTCAAAAGAGAATAGAGGGGAGAAATTGGAGACAGTGTGTCTGGGCAAGTCTTGAGTTTTGCTGTAAAGTGAGAGAAGGAAATGAAGTCCTAGCTGAGTGGGGTCAAGAGAGAGCCTTTTTGTTTTTGCTTTTTTAAGCTGGGAGAATTAACAGCATGAGTAGCTGATGAGAGTTATTTAGTAACTGGGGGAAACTGAGGCAAGTGGGGGGAGTTGCTAGACAGCCCTCATAGTCATCATCGTGCTTTTCACTCACAGTACACCATTCGATGAGTGTGCTTTTTCTTCTGTCTGACTAACTTTTATTTTTAGAGTCACTTTGCTGGCTACTCATCATTTGTAGTACTAAATTAGGGATTTCTAGGAAAAGACAGAAAACCTGTGACTGAGATTGTTCATCATTTGCTGTTACCTCAGTTTTGCTTTTGACCAATATAAAATTTCTTCTTCTGGTATAATTTTAGTCATAATACCAGACATTTAAAACAAAGCAGATTATTTAATCTTAATAATAACAGTACAGCAAATATTACACCTCCCATTTTATAACTTAGGAACTTGGGCCTCAACAAGTTAAGTCACTTGCCCAAGATCACATAACTTGTATCAGGCAGAGTCAAGATTTGAACCCAGGTCTGAGTCTTCAGGTTACTTAGTAATAAAGCTATTAACTTTCTAGTTTTACAGAAATGACAGTCTCTTAACACTCTACTTTACATGGATTGCATGGAATTGATCTGTGATGTTTCCAGTGTTTAATAATGTAGGTTGTAAGCTGAACAGTAAAATTTTAAGGTGTTTGAAATATGAATAGTTCTTGATTTAGAAGAGGCATAAGACTGAATCAATCAAAATTTTCATAGACCAACAAAAATTGGGTTATCTAATTTATATGCTTGAGAATTGAGGCTTTATGGTGAGACTATGCTATTTTAGTTTGTATGTTCTAGGAACAAACAAACAACTTCTTTTGGTACTAATAAGACAATTATTGCCTAAATAAAATATTTTGGGGAGAAAAAAGTATTTTTTGCTTGGTGCTACAAAACATAAGAATATGTGGAAGCTGGCCAGGTGTGGTAACACACATCTATAATCCTAGCATTTGGGGAAGCTGAAGCAGGAAGATTATTTGAGGCCAAGAGTTTGAGACCAGCCTAAGCAAGTAAGACTCCCATCTCTACAAGAATATAAAAATTAGCGAGGTGGTTTGTAGTCCTAGTTACTCAGGAGGCTGAGGCAGGAATATCACTTGAGCCCAGGAATTTGAGGTTATAGGGAGCTATGATGACACCAGCTGTACTCCAGCCTGGACACCACAGCAGGACCATGTCTCAAAAAAGAAAAAAAAATGTAATCTTTTTATATTGCATCCTCATATCTGTCTAAAAAGAGAATACAAATGTAATCTCTCCCTATACATAGGTCATTAGGCTTACCAATTTGATTGCCGTGTTTAAGAGTCTTACAGAGAAATGAACCTACTGCATTGATACTTTTTTAAGGGCTCATATTTTAAAGGCAGTAGTGTTTTTAATTTGTGAATTTGTTCATTCAAAAGTCACTTGTGGACCTGCCCTGAGCCAGTCAGTGTGCTAATGATACCAGACTTTTGATACTGGATTTCCAGGCTCTTGGTCTCAACGATTCGATGAATGAATCGACGGACCACAGGATCAACAGTAGGTTAGGTTTTATTCAACAGGTGTTACAGCTCTCACAAAGAGCCAAACCTTCCACAGCAGGATCAGTAGTAAGATAGGTTTTATACAAGTGTCACAGCTCTTACAAAGAACCAAACCTCCTTGCAGAGTAGGATACAAGTGTTACAGCTCTTAGAAAGAGCCAAACCTTGCAGAGCAGGATGTGTTACGGCTATTGCTCTTCTGCTCTCTCTTCCTGGGAGGTCTGCAGAGATCTGCACTTAGACTCTCTGCTCAGGGGCTTATATAGGGGCAGTTGTCCAGTGAGCTTTCGGGTCCTGAAAACAGACCAATCAGGAGCAGGTTTTGAAAATAGACCAATCAGGGATGCACTGGAGGAATAGCCAGTGTCTTCCCCTGCTTGTGTCCAGTTCCTTTGGTTACTGGAGCCTCCGGTGGGGGAGGGAAACTCCCCTTGCTTGCCTATGCTCCAGCCTGCTGGTTCCTCTGAGGGCTGCCACCACCAACACCACCAAGACAGAGGTGGCAGGTCCTCCATCCCTGCTAGGCTGAGCTGGCTGGGGCGCCACCTGTCTGGTATCACTAAGACAGGGCATCCCAGCAGACTGTGCAGTCTTACCTTTGACTTTCCCAGTAAATTCTTATGGTATGACCCTTCTCTGAAGCTTGCAGAAAGCAATACAGTAGATATCAGCTCTGCATTTAGAGTGCCAGTGAATACTATGAGGTTGCCCTTAGTCCGGTGATGAACTTTCTTCACTACGTACTGCCTCTTACCGAGAAATGTCACTTTCTATACTCAGGAAACAATCTTAGTTGGAAAAATGTTGAACAGAAATGGTCTAAGTCTACACACTCAAATGGTTAATGATCATTCTGTATAAACACAAGTAATTAAAAATCAACTCAAGTCAAATAATTGTTGTTAGCTACCTTGAATTGTATTAAATCTCTGAGATAAACCTAGTTCCAAAAAAAGGGTGCCATCTAATGGCTGACCTTGAGCTGCTTGATGAAAGTGCTTATTTTTCCTATTTTAGTTCACAGCTACATCTGCTGGCCAAAAAAATAACATGTAAAAAATGCTTAAAGTGAAACTTTTCAGTTTCTTTAAAATACTGTGGTTTTGCTCAGTTTATTCATAATGATTATGGAATTTCATTTCACATAGAATGCATATAATACATTAAAAAATATATACCTTTTTATTTTACACCATGGCATATCATTTCCCAGAGGTTCCAAAGAATAAGAGTTAGTAGAAGCTATCCTGTTATAATGCTGACCAAGCAGGTAAATTTGCCCAGCACTGAAATAGGACCCTCCCTGCCTTTGGATAGAAATCAGTCCAGATTGAGTATGACCAGCCCTTGGACCAGCAAGCATGGCTGGATTGCTCGGTTTGTATTTGTTGATTACTTTGAATTATGGTATTTGATAATCTGATTGTGATTGAGGTAGCATTACTTTTATCATAATAACTTCATTGTAGAAAAAAAGAGATGAACATTTCCTGGGGTTGGTTCTTGGTCCCCTAAATCAGCTCCATACACGATCCTGGGAGACTGACCAGGTCAGTGCACGTTGGATAGTCTGACTAGATTGTTTTATCAAGGCCAGATAGTTTAACTTTAGAGAATAGTTGAGGTAAACAGCCTAAGGAAGTCTAGTGTTAACTGGTAATTCCCTAATTATTGGGGGGGAAAATGAAGAAACCTGTTGTTTACAGTTATTTACATGTTACTTTTTTACCTTTTATTATTTATAGTAGGATAAATAAGATTTCAAAAGAGTTTTAGTTTATAGTAAGACTACCTTGTCTTTTGTCCCCCCTTAGAAGGAAAAACATTAGATGTCTAAAAAACTCCTGGTTGCTATGATCAGAACTTTGTACAAGGGCAGATGTGCCGTGCCTGTGGACCTGTGCTCTTTGTTTGTACGTGAGAAGGTTATTATTGCAGAGGACTGGCAGCGATAACTGTTGTTTATATAGAGTGTGTTCATGATGTCCACACCAGAC